ATGAATTGCCCAGATCAAAGTTCTGTCGCCAAGCCGGTCGGAGTGGTGTTTTGGGTATACGCAGGAATTGTGAGGCAATCCTGTTGTCCGAATCGTCGTCCTGACGGTGAAATATCTGGTCCACATCATCCGGACCTATATCCACGAAACGCAGGTGTTATTCCGATACGTTGATTTGGGGTTGATCCAACAGTGCTGTTGGCTCATCTTCCGAGTCATCCCCCCCTGATTCATCATGACTTTGATCCTTCGCTGCGGCTTGCTTTTTCTTCCGCTGCTTAGTAGGTCTGAAATCATGTACCATTGGTTGGTAGTCCTTCAGGAAGGCACTCCTATCCCTTGCTATCATGTGATAAATAGGATCTCGCCTACGTGCTTTGCGCGTATTCACTGGTGGAGATGGTACATCTGATTCCAGTGCATGTCGCACTTCCTCCGATGTTGAATTATCTGAGGATTGGTTTTAATCCGTTTTCTCGGCCTTTCTCTTTCGAGATTTCGCCTTCTTCGCTGGTGGCTTCTGTGGCTCCGTAGTCACATTACCCATACCCGAGTCAACCAACCTCTTACGTTTTTGTTTAGTCAGAGTTGGTACTGGTTGTCTCGGTGTGATCTCAGTTACGTCAGAGTCCACTGATGATGCCGGGGGTGTTTTTTGCTTTTCATCGCCTACAGTAAACCAATTTACTTTTGCAGCCTTAGCTACATTCACTGCCTTATTATTTCCTTTCTTCATAATATCGATAGCGTATTATAAACTTAAAAATATTTAAAAGTCGGGGCTGACTATACGTATACGATACCAAGACGTTTACGTGAAAACGTTAATATGCAAAATGTTAAAAATAGGTTTAGCTTCAGCCCTTGGTAGTGAGTAAAAGATTAGGGGATTTTAGACTGAGACTATTGTCTATATGCTCCGCTCTAATCACTCACTACTTCGGTCTAGATTTATTTATGTTTTAGTTACTAAGAATAGATATCATTTCATTGGACGCATATTTTACATTTCACGCCTCGAAACAACTATCTACTCAAACTAACCAATAAAATATATCCAAGTCCAACTTAAGAAAATCAAAAATAAAATCAAAACACCAAGTCGGAGCAGCATACATCTGCACCTAAACCCTATCACTTGGTACCTAGCTCCCCATCCCATTTAAGGCATAGACGGGCACATCTAGTTGGCTGGCTAGGAGGAATCAAAACCATGTTGTCCTAAATTCTAACAACTCTGATCCTGTCCTTTTCTCAGTGGATTATCTTGCTCTGAGATTATTATCGAATTTTACCATAGGTTTGTACCAACAACCATTTCATGCCTGAGACCCTCTCTCATGGTACTTCCGTTAATTAGAGATTCCCAAAGTGTCATTTTTAGGTGTCAGATTTGTATCATTCCCAAAATATGTACAATTCTAATTTCAGAGGAAAATAACCAATCTGTATTTGGAAAACCACCTAATTGTCCACAGTAGAGTCCCATACTCTACTGAGTACTATCACATGTTCAGAATCTTGAATATCTCAATTCTTGTCCCATGTACAATACGTTAAACGTATTCCAGTATTTTAAGTATAAACGTTAATACGCTATCACGTCTATAATATACGTTAACTGTGCAACTACTATTAGGAACACGCTATTTTTACACAGACTATGGACTAGCCGTCTACTAGTGTAGCCTGTTGGACAACGAGGCCGGCCTCTTGTATACTAGTTGGATTATGTAACATCTAGCTTAGTTTCCTTATATATTACACAGTCCACTACAGTTAAACACAACAATACTACTTCTCTCTGCAGAGGAGTCAGGAGACACATGTCAAAAGCCGTCGTCGGATCTATATTGATGATCCGGATCAATAGTGATTCATTACTACCGGCTACCGGTATTTGTGTCATGCGTGACCACTTAAACCTGTTATTACTTCTATTTCAATTCCCCTAGGGCTCCTGAACCTGTAGGATTCCCCAATCGAAATGTTAAGGTTTTGAATGCTTAAGGGGATGTCCTTCGTTTAACAATAACTGTACTGTGCAGCAAGCGAACAACTCGAGATATACCCCCAAATCAACACCATAAGCAATATTTACATAAATAGATAAGGCGGTTCCAAATCGATTTTTGTTTCAGACGAATCCCCCCCTCTTCTTTTTGGGGTGAGCTCTTGAAATTGGAATATAGGTGCCCCCCCTGGAAACAGACTCAGAGGTTTTCGAAATCAAGAATGTGATTTCTCGGGAGTACGTTTCTAACATTCATGAGTGCAAGTGTACTATCTGTTGCTGTTGGTACCTGTCCTGCATTGGCGTATTCTTGATCCTCCGCACTTCGTAACCTTCGTTTTTGCAGATACGACAGTGGTCACCAATTTTGAACATTGATACTGTCTCAAGTGAGTCGAGCTTTTATTACACCAGCGCTCATTTTTGTTGTTGTTGAGATTTTTAGTTTCACGTTCGGTCCAGACACTCAAATACTGAACAGATATTGTGACACGGATGTAAATAAAGGACAAGGAAGCACACACTGGTGCTATAGACCAATGTGATTATAAAAGTTTCGAACAGAGAAAAATTCACTAACACCGAGTGTCAAGGCTCAATTTCAGAGGTCGCCTGGTAAGACGATTGCGATACGTCGTAGCTAAATCAGCATGGACTCATGGAAAGTGTTGCCTTCGTTTAGACGATAGTGAAACATCACATGACCTAGGTTTCCATAAAACATTGCGATGATTGTAGCAGGTAACTGAGATTGTATCGTGTCGCCCACCCCGAGCCCTGCCTGTCTAACTATCAGTGTGAGTCCTGTGCCTAATTTGAGCGGCACACCCAGTGTCATATTTTGGGCACAAAGTGAGAGACAACATGAGTAAACATACTTCTAAATACGTTAATAACGTTTTACGCCGTCAGCCCGAGAGTAATTTGGGACTTGTTCTCAAATTTATCAATGTATAGGTGGGTCAGCCCTAGAGAACGTACAGGTAAATTGAGACTTCTTCTCAGATTATTCTATTTATAGGACACGGGCCACCGAGAGCCGAGGCCCGAGACTGAGAGTACGTAACAGAGAAAGTGATATATATAATTCTAAAAATATACCAGAGTCCTAAGTGTTCTGCATAAGAGTTCTTAAATTGATCATATGAGTTTTAACCCTGGCCAACCCAAGTGGTTGAACACTAGTATTTACACAAACCATCATTATTCAACTGAGGGTGAGATCAGGGATAAATTCTTTCAAACACACCCCCACATTACACTCATACAACTCGTAACAAAGAAAGTGGAATATTAATTTCTAGAAATATATCAGAGTACTAAAGTGTATTATAAGGTTTCTCATACTGATCATGAGTTTTTACCCTGGCTAACCCGTGGTCGAGAACTAGTACAGACACCATCAGTACATAACTGAGGGTGAGATCATAAATAACGAACACGCCACTCTTTAGATACATATTCACTTTACCTATAAGTCCCCCACATTACACTCTAACACAAAGTTGTATCTAAACACCCTCGATAAGCGCCTTCCCTATGTTGAGACCTAGCGGAACCCCTCTGGCTTTCAGTTAGCGCAAAGGCTAGTGTGAGTGCCCCTCCTAACCATACATCGGGCGGAGTTCATCACCATCGTCAGATAGAGCCTATATTGTCTCATGCCTCAATATAATTGCTAGTCCTTCCACCAGCATTGTGTTTATAATACCCAGCCCGACAATCACTGCTTTACCTAAAGCCTTGCAACGGCCAGTGCCACGTTGAGGATAATAGTGCAACAGCCAGTTCCAGTGCCCCAACTGCATCTACGCAAACAAGCACTACGTTGCCAAAGTCTGTTGCACCGCAACCTGTTCTTGCGAACACGGCAACATCTACATCAATAATGAGCGCAACGGTTACGACAACCCTCACAATCACCAAAAGTACTCGCAGCCAATCACTCCCAACAGCATTGCCCCAAAGACCAAGTCGTCCACTAATCATTTGACGCCATGGTAGAACCAGTATAGCTTGCTGCCATGGCAACTTGGCAATTGTTCAGGTGTGACTTAATACTCGTTGAAGAAGTGCAAGAGGTACGAAGATGCGCGCTGTACTGTGGCAATGTGAAGTGCGGGGGATGCGCTTCGTACTATAAAAAAAAACTTGAAGTTTTGTGCACATTGCGATAAATATTTTGGTGAAGTAAACTGCACAAGTGCGCATCAAATTATACTTGTACAGTCTTCACAGAAGGTTCGATACAGTTTTCAGCAACACCGTATATATATATATATATATATATATATATATATATATAGATATATATATTCAGCCAAAAATCCGGCCGTTCCGGTAAAGAATTTACGTTCAATCGGAGAGGGCAGTTATGTCATGAAATCCAGCAGTTAGACAAGTCAAATCATCGTCTGCACTAGACCTGATGAGACTAGTCACACATGTAAAGATAAGCCAATAGACTTCATAATTTCATGCTGGTTTACTGGCTATTATAAAATTGAGGTGTAAATATACTATTGAATGCTTCGAAGGGTACTCAACTATGTACTTTTTTCGGTCGGCTTCTATAAATCAGATTTGAATGTATTCGAGGGTGATGGGCTGATGGCTCGAAACTAACCTTATCATCTGTATGTCACCGTGCGCATAAAACAATGGTATTTAAATTTATTCCAAATTAGATTAGTTATCGAAATGCCTACAAACTACTCTCTAAATCGTCTGCAGTAGACAAACTGTACGATTCGGATGTCTCTGCACTTTTCGTAGACACTATTTAGATAGTCTTCTTGTCCTTACGCAACAACTGCACAGAAAACCATCGTGATATTCAAGCTAGTCCTAGCACTCTTGTCGGGCCTTGGCGCGTCTCAGACTGCAGAAATTGTCAGACATCGCAGACATAAAGTAAAACGGCTGGACTCTGGAACTAGTGTTGATCCTATAGCAGAGACCTAAGCCCATTTAACGGAAAGGTTGAGAACGCAGCTAGAAGTAGTTGGGGTGAGCAAGGCCCATCGCTGTGCGCGAATTCAGTCGCAGTGGCCTTCCAGCTGCGTGATGCTTAGTGTGTATCCCGATATTGTCCACTTTGTACATCGACAAAACCAGCGAATCGCCTGTTGCAGCATCGTCAGGTGCACAGACTCGTAGGAATCAACTGGGTGTATGTTATACCGTCCTTTACTTACTATCCGATCACCAGTAGGAAGTGATTGTCGACGCATTTAAAGAGTGTCACATACTTCATACTGAGCAGTGGTCTTTCTCACATGCCGTCGTGCACTTTTACACACCTAGTGCAATGGCAGAATTGGTCGTTCAATAGTATAGCCGTACGTCCGGACGCTGATAGTGACGCGATTGGCCCACAGACACGGCTGCGCTCCAGCAAGCTGATATCAAGGCCTCATCCCTTGCAGTAATGGACGTTATCCTTTGATAACACTGAAGCAATTCGATTGCTGTGGATACCATAGTGAACTTGACGATACAGCTGGCTTGTTGTCCTATTTCGAATCTAAAAGAGCAAATCGCCTGCTGTGATCTTCAGAAACTACATGCCTGCGGTGGCCATGTGTTGTCAACCTGTAGATAAAAACTGCTTGCTACGGTCACATTTCGTGAGTGCAAAGGTACGGCCTCCTGCCGTGGTGGCCATGTACGAGCCTGCAGAGAGAAACTCATTCATTCGCGGCAGTAGCAGTAATTGTTGTTGTTCCTCGATACCATAGAGTTACAACTTGCTCTAGGATTTAGGGTTTAGGGGTTTAGCTTGCGGTGGTCATCGCCACGCTTCCGCAGAGTATTGCAAAGGGCCGAAGTTCTTCTCAATCAGCAGACGAAGACGCTTGGTACACCGTTTGATGTTTTCCTGAGGCGCACATAGGGTGGGTGATGAGTCAGTACACTTATTGATCGTTGAGAGAACGACTAGCCTGACTCGCTGGAGGGAAGGAAGCAACACTCGCCTACCATTACCCAATTCTAACAGTAGGAACAGCAAACCAATGTCTACCCGCACCCCACTACATCGGGCAAGAGCGCAAAAGTATCACCCGCACACACGCACTATGCGTCCCAATGACCGCTCAATAGTGTATTCATGGGAGTTACGTGTGAGTCCAATTATCATTACATTGTCGGAGCAAACCAGCCGTTTTCGCTATTGTGGACACTTGGCACACACTGCAAGACATCACAACATATGTTGAGTTCCCAGATACCCCGCTACTCTTGCCGATCATAGCCGTGACGAGTGCGCATGTATGCATACACACCTGGGATCTGGGTGTCTGTTGCGTAGCCAAACGCACATGTAGTATATCACGTACCTTTGTGAGCGCTGACACAGCGACGACCTCGTGTTCGCACGAGCTGACCAGACGCTCGTAGTTGGCAGCGAACGCAGGGTGGTCCATTTTATTGGCGATTACCAGAGACGGCCTCTCCACCATGCCTTCCTTGTACAGCGACAGTTCACGCTGCAGTAGCAAGAAGCGTAGGTCACAGGGGAGATAGCCAAGCATGTAACAATAAGCGTAGGTCGCAGGGGGAATGCCCAAGCATGTAGCAATAAGCGTAGGTCACAGGGGGAATGCCCAAGCATGTAGCAATAAGCGTAAGTCACAGGGGGAATACACAAGCATGTTGATACGGACTATGGGGCTTAGTGCTAGGATAAGACAACTGCGAACGAGACACAAAAGTACCGAAAGTGCAAGAGTGGTACGTATTCTATTTATACTAAAGGAATAGTGTACCAAAATAAGTATTATGGCTAAACCCAATATGATATATTTTCCGGACGATATACGATGTATACTCAGGACTATATGGACTATATGGTATATAATCAAGAATATATATGATATATACCCAGGACTATATATAATATACACTCAGGACCATATATGGTATATACACAAGACTATATATGGTATATACTCAAGACTATATATAATATATACTCAAGATTATATATGATATACACTCAGGACTATATATGATATATACTCAGGACGATATATATTCTATACTCAGGACTATATACAGCATATACTCAGGACTATGTGTGATATATACCCAGCACTACATATGCTACATACAATTGCCACACCCAAGCACTATACATACTACATACAATTGCCACCCCAAGCACTACATATACGATTGCCACACCCAAGCACTACATATGCTACATACGATTGCCACACCCAAGCACACCTGCAAAATGGCCAAGTCTTCCACAGGGTCCCGTCCGTCCATCCCAGCGCAGTCGACCACATACACCAACACACGCGCTCGCTCTACGTGGCGCAGGAATGCATGCCCTAAGCCAAAGTTGGCGTGTGCACCCTGGAAGAGATACGCATATGACAAAAGGTATAACACATGGAATGAGAAACACACGAATAGAGTTTGACAGTTAACAGATATAACACAAGGAGTGAGAAACACACCGGTAGAGTATAACGGTCAACAGATATAAGACAAGGAATGAGAAACGCACCAGTAGAGTATAACAGTCAACAGATATAACATAAGGAATGAGAAACACACCAGTAGAGTATAACAGTCAAGATATAACACAAGGAATGAGAAACACCCGGGTAGAGTTTGACAGTCCACAGGTATAACAAAAGGAATGAGAAACACACCGGTAGAGCTTGACAGTCAACAAATATAACACAAGGAATGAGAAACACACCGGTAGAGTATAACGGTCAACAGATATAACACAAGGAATGAGAAACACACCAGTAGAGTATAACAGTCAACAGATATAACAAAAGATATGAGAAACACACCAGTAGAGTATAACACAAGATACAAGGAATGAGAAACACACCGGTAGAGTTTAACAGTCATCAGACAAAACACAAGGATTGAGAAACACAATGATATGGTATAACAGTCAACAGACAAAACACAAGGCTTGAGAAACACACCGATAGGGTATAACAGTCAACGGAAATAACAGAAGGAATGAGAAACACACCGGAAAGGTTTAACAGTCAACGGTTGTGAGTGCGAGGGTTCTATAAAGAACCGTGTGCTCAGACAGCAACGTAACGCCCCGCAATAACTTCAGAAACACACAGGTCAATACACCATGCCAGACTAATCGCAAACGCTCAGTCCATTCATTCAACGGTACATGGTGCACGGTCATCACGTGGTGTACATCAACGTCAAGTCGCCACAACAACAGACAATGCACAACGCAGAAGATGTGAGGCAATCACTTGCAACATCTGAGGCCCTGTGTTAGGAGGGGTTGAGAGTGGATGATGCTAGGTGTAAAGGACTACTACCAAACCCAACGATTAGTGTATAGTACAATGCACAGTACATGAATGCAATACCTGATTAAGGCACATGCATGATACAATACGTGATCACGTCCTGCACAATACAATGCCTGATGACGTCATACATAATACAATACCTGTTTACGTCATACATAGTACAACACCTGGTTACGTCATACATAGTACATCACCTGTTTACGTCATACATAATACAACACCTTGATTATGCCGGGGATGTCAGCTACCGTGAGCGCGTGGCAGTCGTCGTAGTGTAATACACCCACGTGTGGGTTGAGAGTGGTGAACGGATAGGACGCCACCTCTGGTCTCGCAGCGGTAATCGCACTCAGGAACGACGACTTGCCTAGTACAGAGTGTGAGAGAGGTCTATAAGACAACGACGACTTAACTAGTACAGCGAGTGCGAGAGAGTTCTATAAGGCAATGACGACTTAACTAGTACAGAGAGTGCGAGAGAGGTCTATAAGGCAATGAGGACTTAACTAGTACAGAGAGTGCGAAAAAGGTGTATAAGGCAACGACGACTTAACTTATACAGAGAGTGCGAGAGAGGTGTATAAGGCAACGTCGACTTAACTAGTACAGAGAATGTGAGGGAGGTGTATAAGGCAACGACGCAAACAGCACAAAGCTGCCAATGCTTATAGGGCCTGATTAAGGGGTAAGTGAGGTGTATTGGATGGCTCAGAGGATCAGTTGGGAGAGAAAGGAATACCTCATCCAGGTATTTGGTGCGTATTTGGACATTGTGGGTAGTTTATGTACCGGTGAAGACGTATCGTATAAACCATGCAACTCCAATATACTGGTGAAGAAGTATCGTATAAACCATGCAACTCCAATGTACTGGCTAAGACATCGTATAAACCATGCAACTCCAGAGGTGATGCCGAGCCACAGGTGGGCAAGAGGTTCAACACGCAGTCTACTAACGAACGGAAAAGCAACGACACGATTCAAATAATCTACAACCCTACAACCCCACCTGCATGACGAGATGTGTGACATACACCACTCATCACAAACAAACAGCCTACAACACACACGTAAGTCCTGCAGAGATGAGGAGCACTGGCCATCGTCCCGCGAGGGAGAGGGACGCATGTTCACACATGGTTTGGTGTGTCGTTGCTTGTCACCTTGTTCACTTACCTGCATTAGGTAGCCCCACCAGACCAGCATCCGCTGTGCACGAGGAGCGAAGGAAAGAATAATAAATACAAACGAACACGAAAGAAGAGAAGGAAACAATAGTAAATACAAACGAACACGAAAGAAGAGAAGGAAACAATAGTAAATACAAAAGAACACGAAAGAAGAGAAGGAAACGATAGTAAATACAAAAGAACACGAAAGAAGAGAAGGAAACAATAGTAAATACAAAAGAACACGAAAGAAGAGAAGGAAATGATAGTAAATACAAAAGAACAAGAAAGAAGAGAAGGAAACGATAGTAAATACAAAAGAACACGAAAGAAGAGAAGCAAACGATAGTAAATACAAAAGAACACGAAAGAAGTAGATCTAAATACAAACGAATGCGAAAGAAGTAGATCTAAATACAAAAGATTACGAAACAAGTAGATCTCGCAAATGAACAGCCAAGACAAACGCATTCAGCCCACTGGAGCAAGAAAGGAGGCAGCTATGTAGGCAACGAAAAGAGAAGCACAACAACAGGTATATACTGGCACTGTGATAAGCACCAGGCAATGAACAAAGGAGGCAGCCATGTAGGCAACGAGAAGAGAATCACAACAACAGGTATACACTGGCACTGTGATATGCACCAGCCAATGAACAAAGGAGGCAGCCATGTAGGCAACGCGAAGAGAAGCACAGTGAGAGGCATACACTGGCACTGTGATATGCACCAGCCAATGAAGGGTCGCCTGGCAGGACACTGAACAACGGAAAACAAACAGCGAACGTTAAACTCTCCTATGCGTACGACATGGATCAATGAAAACTCAACGTCTACATCAAGCACTTATTCTCATAACACACACAAACACACACACACACATACACACACATACACGCTTACACGCACACACAACATGCGTAATTGCCACACGAGCGCCTAATGCACACACACCAAATGTCTTGATTTCGAATCGCAGGATCTTCTCCTGGGGGGGTTTGCCCTCGGTGGTCTGTCGGGGTGCTTTGTTCTTAGAGTTGGCAAAGTGCACATTGCCCAACCCCCCCCAGGCCACCTCTGACCAGTACTAGGGTCTGCCCATTCTTGGTCAGGTCAGCAATTAACTCAGGCTCAGCATCGGGATCGGATTGCTTGGCCTGGCACAAGGTATCAAAAGACTTGTTGATGAAGAAGCTTGAATTTAGCACGTCTTGAAGAAGAAACATGCATGTTATGAACACGTCGGAATGCCGCACTCATCTCGCCAACGGACACGTAGCAGAGACCACAACCACAGCCACACAGGAGGTACTGGCGACAATGCCACAACAGGTCACACGGCCGTAAAAAACGCACCGCAGGGCAATGAAATGGGACCCACGGGACAACAGTGGTGCGGCAAAGGAAAAAAAACACTCAGACATTATTTTTGGGCCTCCTTTGGTGGGGGGGGGGTATAGAGGGATACGCAATTAAAACTATAAACCCAAGAGACTTGAACCACCGCATACTCACTGACTCGTGGTACAGCACGCACGCACTACACAAAGCGCAGTGGCAGAAATACTGGCACTCGTTAATACGACCCACACCACTCAACAGCACAGACCTAAGGGATCACCTCAGCCCATGCGACCGAGAGGCTCCCCTCGTTCTCTATCGCTTGCAGCCACCACACAGTACATGTACATGACCCACGCCATAGATATATATCCTGCACACATCTGCACCCTCACACGTGACCAATATATAGTGTGCACGTAAACACGCATGGGACACACATGCCTGTGAAACATGCATGTAACACACATGCCTGTGAAACATACATGTAACACACTTGCCTGTGAAACACGCATGGGACACACATGCCTGTGAAACATACATGAGACACACATGCCTGTGAAACATGCATGTAACACACATGCCTGTGCTCAGGCGCACACTCACCTCGTCCGAGTACACGACTGTGCCGACAGGAACCACTATGTGCGCATCCGCCCCAGTGGCACCATGCATGGTAGCGCCTTTGCCGTGGACACCGTTGGTTGCCTTGCAGAAGGCCTTCATCTTGTTAAAACTACCATGCCACAGGTCACAGTAGTGCAGTGGGATGGTATGGTCAGGTGGTATCATGATGATGTGCATGTATATTACAAAAGGCCTTCATCTTGTTACAACTATCATGCAACAGTTCACAGTAGTGCAGTGTGGTGGTATGGTCAGGTGGTATCGTGATGATATGCACAAACATTGCAGGAGGCCTTCACCTTGTTAGAACTACCATGCCACAGTTAACAGGTTCCTTGAACCTACACACCTAATCAGAAGTACAAATATGTGATCACGCACGCCCACACCAGTTGGTGGTAATCACCGATCCCACCTGACACTAAGCTACCAATCGCCCCCACTCACACGTCAACTACAAACACACACACACAAGCCGTGACCATAGATAACACACTCACAAGCCGTGACCATAGATAACACACTCACAAGCCGTGACCATAGATAACACACACACAAGCCGTGACCATAGATAACACACACACAAGCCGTGACCATAGATAACACACACACAAGCCGTGACCATAGATAATACACACACAAGCAGTGACCATAGATAACACACACACAAGCCGTGACCATAGATAACACACACACAAGCCGTGACCATAGATAACACACACACAAGCCATGACCATAGATAACACACACACAAGCAGTGACCATAGATAACACACACACAAGCCGTGACCATAGATAATACACACACAAGCCCTGCCTACAGCTATCACCCACACAAGCTCTGCCTATAGCTATCACCCACACAAGCTCTGCCTATAGCTATCACCCACACAAGCTCTGCCTATAGCTATCACCCACACAAGCTCTGCCTATAGCTATCGCCCACCTGTTGATGGTATCGCTGGCCACGACAATCACATTGCCGCCTCTGCCGCCATCGCCTCCGTCTGGGCCACCTCTCTCGAGAAACTTCTCGCGATGAAAGCTCATGCAGCCATTGCCACCCTTGCCTGCACGCACACGCACGCGCATGGTATCCACAAACCCGTTCCGCTGGTGTAGGAGGGATGGGGGGGACATGTGGGTGTACAGGGACAGACGGCAATAGTATAACGGCAGACACAGGTGGAGCGCAATGCAAGCATCAACAACCGAGAAGTGTTCACAAAGGAAGCACGAGGTGGCATAACCTTTGACAGACACGTTCACGTCAGCACACGCGACTCTGAGAGCACTCGTAAGTGTAGGCCACACTCACACTAAGGCATCGGCTGTATGTACACCACACTAAAACAGACGACACGACATGTACTTTACGACATCAGAGGGCGACAGTGAGACCTTGATAACTGCCCTACACTCGCCATACATGAGGTGTAGGGATGCACTAATAGAGACAGCCCCAATAAATAAGCCGTGGACACTGAGAGATTGAGCTTTTACTATATCATGCCATATCACGCGCTCTTCGAATGATACAAATACCGTTTATATATCACCACATTTCATGCCATGCCAATGACACACACATACCATTTGAATGATATAAATACCTCACACATACCATTCGAATGATACAAATCCGTTCACATATCACACATGCCATGTCAATGGCACCCGCATACCATTCGAATGATACAGACGCCTCACACATACCATTCGAATGATACAAATATTGTTCGCGTATCACACACGCCATGCCAATGGCACACACATACCATTCGAATGATACAGATACCTCACATATACCATTCGAATGATACAAATCCATTCACATATCACACATGCCATGTCAATGGCACCCACATACCATTCGAATGCTACAGATACCTCACACATACCATTCGAATGATACAAATATTGTTCACGTATAACACATGCCATGCCAATGGCACATACATACCATTCGAAAGATACAGATACCTCACACATACCATTCGAATGATACAAATCCGTTCACATATCACACATGCCATGTCAATGACACACACTTACCGTTCGAATGATACGCTTGGTGGGCTTCATCAAACTCAGCGCCTCTCTCTCCTCGGCCGTCAAACCATTCACATCTATATCCGCCACTTCGTCTATCGCGTGTTCTGACTCAGACACTATTGTCTCCACTTCTGTGCTGTTGTAGAGTTCAGCCAACTCTTCCGCATTCCATTCATTCTCGGACTCAGACGGCGATTGGTGTACCGGAATATTTGCACTGGTATACCGGGATTCACTATCTATATGCCTACCTACTGTGTCTGTGGTGTACCTACGCCCACTGCACCACAGCCGATCCCAACTCAGCCTTTGCTTACAAGGCGCAATTCTATCTATTGTCGCATGCACACTTCGTCTGGGTGTGAGATGTACTTGCACGTCATCGCAACTGTACTCTCGTGTCACATTCGTGTTTCCATGCGGCATTGCACCTGCAATGGTCGGTATAACGTCCGTTGCACTGGATGGGGCTATGCGATGCCCACTCCAGCTGAGCGAATTTGTCGCTGTATGTATTGAATGCGTACGTCTTCTCGTAATTCTACAGAGATGTGAGGGTCGAAATTTTTGCCACGAAAGCAATCGCATGGTCCATGCAGATTCCCGAAACAACATCGTGGGGTTTACACAGTCTTTACACTCAATAGCAGGAGAGTCAAATCTGTTTACGTATTACAGGGTAGCTCCCCGTGCACCGTAAGCGTCTACGGACTATGCGTGTTCAACAAATCTGAGAAAGTGAGTATGCAGATATGTCTATTTGTGTGGGTATAGACAGAAGTGTCATAAGTACCAGTCTGTGTTTGTGTTATTTTAAAAAGCACATGGGTCGTTGTCTATATATGAATGGAACACACAGGTTTACATCGGTTTGTTCTCAGTTTGGTTAGATATCTACACACATACACACACACATATATATATACATCCATCCATACATGCGATAGCATTAATCTATGTCTATATGTGAAGAATGTGTACAGGGCTGTAGTAATATCACAATAGGGATAGATATCCACACATATAAGTATCTATGATATTTATTGTAGCATGTATTTATTACTATGATATATTGCCTCGAATACAAATATAAGACAAAGGTGAAGCCGCAGCACATGATGAGTTGATGACAGATCAATGACGCGGTCAGGCCATAGAAGACCGCTAAAATGTACAGCAGCTATATTTGGTCATAGTACGCAAAGAGTGGGCCGGTAAAGTGTACTGGCCACTGCCCAGTGTTCTATATTTTTATTCCAAAAATAATATTTCAGACACTTGAGTGACATTTTAAAATATATATAAATATATATAATTTAATACTTATTAGTTTACAGACTAAGAAGAGGGTTTACTGTGGAGACGAGCGAAAGCAACGCACACATATACACACAGACACACACACATACACACACACTACACACAGACACACATAAACGCAACATGGCTGAATGCAATTGTCGCGGCAAGTGTGCAACTTGTCCCTGTGCAAAGGCCAAAGATCCATGCACAGACGCATGTCACAAGGGCAGCCCCAACGAATCGTGCATTAACTTCCAAGAAGCGCTGCAGGTGAAGGCCATGAGCGTATCGGAAATTAGGAAAGCTTTGGCATCGTACGGGTTGTCGCCAATTGGTGACAAGAGTGAGCTTATGCCGAGACTGGCACATCACCTGCGCAATCAGAAGGGCGATAGGTGTGTTGTGATCGGGATGGAGATACGGATGGGTTGTGTGGCTAAAAACAGATGCAGTCTGTGAGTGTTGTATGTATTGCGAGTTTGAAGAATAGTTTGACATACAATGTATGTGGATGCCATGCGCTGTGTTTTGATATGGGCAGGAGTTTGAATCGCGCATATGATATGGAATGCACTTGTGATTGGTGGTTTTAGGGTTTATTCGAGTTGTCTGGTTTTATGTTAGGTTGGGCACGTGTCGTTAGCCTTTTCAATCGATATATGTCACATGAGCATTGCATTTGTATTGCGAGGGGTACTGGTTGCACTGGTTGTAGTATAATGTTGCACCCTCTTACGTTTACCACGCGCACTCGACCAGATGGTCAGTCTTAGTCTCACACTAACCAACACTCTTGGGGGCACTTAGTCACTTCATCCACACTCTGCTGCATGCTGTGGTGCTGCTCGTATGCGTGTCCCTGACATCATACATGTGCGGGTTTACCCTCTGTGCGCGTACTAAGTTCTAGCGTTACGTATTTGTTGTACGTGAGTTTGCGAAGTGATTGCGTCTCTCTAACCATAATCGTTTGTACATCTATCTCCGTCGACGTACGGTGTATATCATCTACTATCTCATACCAATGTGCTTCCATCCCTCTACAACACACAGTGCCGTGAAGGAAGAAACTCCTTCAGCCGGTGCCGGGGGCGGCAATGCCAAAACGTTAATAGACGACATCATACGCTACCAGGACGAGCACGCCATTCTGCTGTCACTTGCTGGAGTGCCCATCACATCTGCGAGCTCTGTGGCGGCTATGCGTAAAGCGTATCTGAAGCTGAGTCTAAAGATTCATCCCGACAAGCACGATAGCAGTGCCGAGAGCAAGGCTGCTTTCCAGGCACTCGTCAATGCGTTTGATACGCTTTCTAATCCAGAGGAGGAAGGTGATGTAGAATACGTTGATGCATGTCATTCCGTATGGACAGTGTAGTGGTTAACAGTAGCTGCGTTTATTTGCATTGTAGTCGATCACTAAATCTAGTGCTGCTGATGGTCGCGATAACAGCGTATATAATTGGCTCTGCCTGCATCATCCGCAATTTAATACGTGTGTGCCATTCAGACTTGTACATGGTTGTGCCATTCGCAATAGTACATGTTTGTGCCATTGTACATACGTGGTCAGGTGATTGTGCTCGCGCACTCGCCGGCCTGCGCTTGAGCATCGAAATGATTGAGCTCTAAGGTCAGCAAATGGAGTGTGTGTGGTATTGTTTCTGTTGACACTTCACACCCGCGTGGTGGTGGATTGGTAGCGCTGTTGTGCTGCCGTCATATGTGTCATTTCTGCTGTCCTATGTGTCATTTCTGCTGTCATATGTGTCGTTTCTGCTGTCATATGTGTCGTTTCTGCTGTCATATATGTCATTTCTGCTGTCACATGTGTCATTTCTGCTGTCAAATGTGTCATTTCTGCTGTCATATGTGTCGTTTCTGCTGTCATATGTGTCATTTCTGCTGTCATATGTGTCATTTCTGCTGTCATGTGTCATTTCTGCTGTCACATGTGTCATTTCTGCTGTCATATGTGTCGTTTCTGCTGTCATATGTGTCATTTCTGCTGTCGTGTGTGTCATTTCTGCTGTCATATGTGTCATTTCTGCTGTCATATGTGTCATTTCTGCTGTCATATGTGTCGTTTCTGCTGTCATGTGTCATTTCTGCTGTCACATGTGTCATTTCTGTTGTCATATGCGTCGTTTCTGCTGTCACATGTGTGTCGCGTGAATTGGGTTGTACTGTAGTGCTAATGTCTTTATTTGGCACTGCGTAGATGACGATGTACCATCGGGCAAGCGCAAGAAGGCTGAGCGCGTGGAGCGATCGAATGACAATTGCTACGAGACTCACATCTACTGCCCCAAATGCCACATCCCATGGAACACGCCGGACCTCGGTCTGGAGAAGGGGGTTAGTGCATACGTTTCAGGGTTCTAGGGTTTTAGGGTTTTAGGGTTTAGAGGAGTTTGGCCTTGTTTATATCTGGAGTGTACTTGAAGTCTGGGGATGTGGGCGGTGTTCAGTGTTTGTGTGTGAATATAGTGTCTGCTGGGTGTGAGTTGGGCATGGATGTATATGGCTGATAGGTTGATGCCGTCTCGCTGGTGAGTGTCTGCTATGTATGTTGTGAGTAATACAGTTGTGTGTGTGTGGGTTTGTGGTATGTGTGTTATATTACATTGCCTCACATCTATTCGTCTGCCCCTCCTGCGGTATTCCACTCCTTGTACTATTGTGCGTTTTTGTGTTACTTGTAGGGTTTTAGGGTTTTAATTAAGTATTAACTCCTTCCACTCCTTCCACTCCTTGTGCTGTTGCTCTATCGTGTGTGTTGCTTGTAGGCGTGTAACTTCTTCATGATGGGTATTAAGCATTAACCCCTTCCACTCCTTTCACTCCTTGTGCTGTTCTATCGTGTGTGTTGGTTGTAGGCGTGTAACTTCTTCATGATGGGTATTAAGCATTAACCCCTTCCACTCCTTCCACTCCTTGAGATGTTGTTCTATCGTGTCTGTTGCTTTTATTTACCTCTTCCACTCCTTGTGCGGTTGTTCTATCGTGTGTATTGCTTGTATTATCCCCTTCCACTCCTTCCACTCCTTGTGTTGTCCTATCGTGCGTGTTGCTTGTATTTCTCCCTTCCACTCCTTCCACTCCTCGTGCTGTTGCTCTATTGTGTGTGTTGCTTGTAGGCGTATAACTTCTTCATGATGGGTATTAAGTATTAACCCCTTCCACTCCTTTCACTCCTTGTGCTGTGGTTCTATCGTGTATGTTGCTTGTAGGCATATAACTTTTTCATGATGGGTATTAAGCAGTACGGGTGCGGTGGCTGTCTGCTGCGCTTCGGCTGTGTCACCGCTGTTCATCACTGCCCATTGTGTGATAAGGAATTCGACTACGATCCAAGTGACTACCATCGACAGGTGTGTGCAGATGTGTACACACAGTGTGTGTACCTGTGAGGATGTTCTGTGTCTGGTATTTCTATTCACTGCACGTGTGTACATGCATGAGCCTCGTGTGCTGCTGCTTGTCTTCACATGACCTCAGTGTCTGCTATTGCTCTTTGCATACCTAGAGATGCATACAAGTGGTAAGAGCTGCTCGGGTGTGATGCATCCAGCAGCAGCCGAGTTGTATGTTGATGTAGATGTATGTGTATACCTATGGTGTACGTATGTGTGTGCGTGATAACTGTTATGTTAGAGAGTGTCAAATGTACACGTGCGTATATACCGGCTTGTCCGCAATTATTCAGTAGGGGCAAAGTGTATGTCAGACACAACACGACAGACAATGATACATCTGCGCACCCTTCGACAGCACACTCACTTGCAGTGTGCATTGTGATGATTGTTCTGCAGTGACAGATTGTGATCGGGTTTGCTATACACGCTCTGTCTTATAACAGCCAAGGTGTTATTTCGAGGTACAAGTGGTGTGATTTGCATGCAAGAGATGTTCAAATGTCTACCTGAACATCGATGGTTACCTACACACACACACACACGCAGAGATTACATACACACACACACACACGGATCACACACACACACTTACACACACACATGGATCACACACACACACACACACACACACACACATATACACACACACTCACACACATACATATACACACACACACACACACACACCCACGAAAGTCATGCACTGCTATGTGCACTTGCATATATTTGGTTTACACATATACACATTCAACTCCTTTTTCGAAGGCGAATCAACCGGCTGTCGTCGGCATCAGGTATACAGTCTGGTCTTCAGCACCCCGAATCAACCTTTCATTGTATTTATCCAGACCCAATTATTGGCCCTATATTGCAGATCAATTGCGGTAACGCGAAATGCACAGGCAAGTTCGGGTTCTGGTACCATCCCGTCTCTGCGTTGCGAGAGCGTCGCATTCGCAGTGAAGTGAAGGCGGAGCAAGAGAAGGAGCACAAGCGACGCAACCAGCGCATCAGAAGGGCCGGACGCGCGAAGGACAGGGCACCCGGTGAGTCATGCGGCCCTGTTCTAGGGTTTTAGGGGTAGAACAAAGACCTACCCACGTATCTGCAGGGGTATCCCTTTGACCAATACACACGAAAGTGCACCCGCTGAGTATTGTGAGTGTGTGAATGGATGAGTCGGTTGTTGTGTGTTGAATTGGCGTTATATCGACAGTTGTGTGGCGACCAATGGGCGCACACTTGCACCCACTGCACTGCACCTGACCACACGTGAAATTCACACACTTAAGACTATTCTAATTCACACAATTAAGGCTATCCTAATTCACACACCTAAGACCAACCTAATTCACACATCTAAGGCTAACTCAATTCACGCACCTAAGGCTAACCTATTTCACACACATAAGGCTAACCCAATTCACACACCTAAGGCTAACCTAATTCACACAACTAAGGCTAACCTAATTCATACACCAAAGGCTCATCTTATTCACACACCCAGAGTTAACCTAATTCTCACACCTAAGGCTAACCTATTTCACACACCTAAGGCTAACCTAATTCACACACCCAAGGCTAACCTAA